GGTTCCGCCAAAAAAAAAAAAAAAAAAGAAAGAAAGAAAGAAAACTGTCAAAAACCCTTTTCTAAGTGTCAGCCAGACCATGATTTCACTGAAATTTTAAGGAACAGAAAATTCCAAAGCTGTACTGGCCCTGCCCCCGGGGCACACTGAGATGGCAACTGAGACTGGGCATGGTCATCCCAGCTCATGGGAGGCTGTAAACAGGAGAATCACTATGAGTCCGATCTAGTAGTGAGGCCCTGAACCCCCTGTAGACCCTTCCCTAAAATACTGAAGAAAAAAAAAAAAAAAAAAGAAAATTCCAAAGCTATTTAAGCTGGTGCAGAGCATTGAATCAGGGGAACGTTTCCAAATCCAAAAGCATACACTAATACAAATCTTCTTAAATACACACACACACACACACACACACACACACACACACACACACAGACTAGGTTCAGTGGCAAGTATAAATACCAAGTATCTCAAACAAAACAGGAGACACAATCTAGCAATATAGTAAATACAAAAAGCACATTGTCAAATAGAATTTATTTCAGGAATGCAGAGATGAGGATGGCTTAAAATTACAAAATATATTTATAAAATCCACCACACCAGAATCAAAGGAGAATCACCGAGTATCCCTGTGGATGTTGAAAAAGCATGTGATACAATTCGACATGCATTCTTAGAAACCTTGTTTATAGGGACCATAATTTTATGTATGCTAAAATTAGGCTAAGTAATACATGGAAAGTATTTAATCATAGTAATAAAATGATGGGCTCTGTTAAGACTAACAGGATGTATGACATTTTAAAGATGTATGGCATTTTTATAAACTAAACCACATCTGAAGGAAATAACGTCCCTCCCCCCAAATAAGTAGGCACTGTTTAGAGGGCACCATGGTTTAGGCAAAAGGTTTTTATATGACAATGATATAGATTTCCCCTAAGCTAATAAACAAAATTAAATCTGTCAAAAAAAAAAGTTTGTGGGTCTCAAGCTGATTCTACAGCTCAGAAGTAAAGACATGCAAGAATATCAGGTATATTTTAAAATGAGTCACTAACCAACGTAGTGTTGGCGCAAAGAGCGGCAGATTAGCTGAAAAGAGCTTTAGTCTAGAAACATACCCAAATACTGTGACATTTTACTACACAGAAGCTGCATTTCAAATTAATCAAAAGTGTTTCAGTTAATCAGGAGCTTTGGGAAAACTAGTCACCTGGAAAAACAAACAAACAAGCAACAAAACCCTAAACTCAGGCTAAAGCCCCAGCTTAAAGGTGGAAAGGAACACATGCTCCGCGGTAAGCGGTCCCACGCGCACGATGTGTTTTCCTGGGCGAGCAGTGAAGATGTGCGGAGAGTGCACTCTGCGGCGACACGCGGCTCCTGCAGACACGTGGATCCGTCTGTGTGCTGGGCGCACAGCGCGCTGCTGCTTCTGCAGGGACACATACGAACGCGCTGGCTGGCGTCTTTTGGAAGGGGAACTAGAGGATGGGTGTCGGGGAGGGATGACTTGCTCCTGTTTTCAAGCAGGAAGGTGTATTAACCAATAAAAAATTAAATGAAACATATGCCAGAAAATAAAGCCAAAACCCTACAGTCAATGGTGTACTATTAATAGGACTTAAAAGGTTAATTTGCTAATTGAATTCTGTCAGCATATTCTTTAGGGCCCTGAAGCATATGTAAAAATACTATGAAAAGAGAACCAGGTGAGCTGCTGTCTTTCACGGTCACCACACAAGAGCAGCACGCTACGCTGCTCCCGTCCTGGGGGACTCTCCCGCGGGGCACAGCGTAAATCACTGTTTCTCTCTACAGTAGTAAAGGAGAATAGACCTGCTTTCACTTTCTTCTACATTAGATATTTATAGCCCAAACCTATATTTGTACCACAATTCAACAAAAATAAAGAACAACTTTGATTTAAAAAGTACCTCAAGGCAATAAAAAATCATTTTAATTTTGATACATATTAAAACATTTCAGTCAGTTCTTCCTGACAGCATAACACAAGTACACAGACCTCAAACATGCTTTAAAAGTAACATCCAGCAAAGCACTTAAATTTAATAAATAGCAAGAATCACACACATTTTCGTACTCAGTCATGAAGCTACTAAAACAGATAGCTAGAAAATAAATAAACAGGAGTTGACAATAAAAAAATAAACAGGTTCTGCAATTCACTCTACTTAAAAAGGGAGGCAAGCTGAATTACATCTTAATTCGCTTTTCTTCAAAATTACAGCATGATCCCCCATGAATAAAATATATTGAAAAAAATCACTCTTACAATAACGCAGTTTTTAAATACAACAAATAAATATGAAACTGGCAAAGCAACTTCAAGTTGTAACACAAATGCTCCCCAACCCCGAAAAAAGCTGTGGAAATATACAGTCACCATGGTAGCAAATAATAGTATTTAAAGTGACAGCGCTTGTGCACCTAGCTCATCTGAGACCTTGACACGACTTTAGTGCAAATCCGTAGGGTGCAATGCAAGCAAGCCCTGGGACGTGAGGGAGACATTACCGGCTGGAACTCAGCATGTACAATTTCTGTACATATGGTATAAAGTTCAAGGGTTAATGCATAGTAGAGTATCTTCATCTGCTTAATTCTGTCCCTAAATAGAGATGAAAACAGAAATGACTTGGGATTTTATCATTTGGTTTGTACCATGTTAGAGTATTAAAGTCAGTATTAGAAAATCTATAAAAGTTTTACTTTTTGCCGTTAATGCATCTAACTCTAACTAAATTCACATTACTGTATGTCAAACATAAGAGAAAAATTTTGAGGAATTATTTTTCCCTTTGATAATATGATAAATTCAATGAAAGATAAGTTGGTATCACACAAATAGAAAGGCGAGCGTAAAAGCTGTAGTACTGTTCTCTCTGTACATAACAACCTTACCGTCTCGTGCAGTCACACCAGTGTCCGAGCTGGCAAGCACGGAGAGCTCGGTTGCAAGTTACTCTGCACGGAAGCCGGTCAAAAGAGGAAGCACCCCGCAGCCTGGGGGTGCCCTTGTCCGGGAAGGGCGGCGGGTGCGAGCACCCGTGCACACTACCGGCGCGAGGCAGCCTAGCACAGCAGCAGCGCCTCGTCCTCACCCGCCTCGCTCTTGCGTGTAGCGTCCCGGCACAGGTCGGGCACCTGGGCAGTGTGCACGATGCCGCAGCGCTCGCAGGGCCCGTCGCGGGCCGGCCTGGCGGCGGAGAGCCCCGGCACTGGCTCGGGTGCCAGGTCGAGCAGCGGCCGGGCGCAGTCGGCGCCATCGGCCGCGGGGACTAGCAGCTCCACGTCGTCGTCCTCGGTCTCCTCATCGCGGCGTGCCACCGCCGCGGGCTCCAGCCGTCTCAGCGGGCTCTGGCTCTGCGGCAAGGGTCCTGCGCGCCCCAGCGTGAGCCGCACCCAGCGCAGTCCCTGTGTGACTCGGCTCAGCGCGCTGGACAGTGGGGGCCGGGCGGGGCTGGCGCCTGGGGCCTCTGCACGCGCCGCGTCCCTGTCCCTGTCCCTGGCCTGGGCCGCCTCGGTCGCGCTCCGTGTGCCCTGCATGCCCCCTGCGGCCTCCACAGCCGATCCCGGGGCCACCTTCTGAGGCAGGGGCGCAGCTACGCCCCCCGCCGCGCCCCCGGCGTCCCTCCGCTCAGCCTCCGTGTCGGTGTCATCGGACTCCACGGAGAACAGACTCCTGTGCCCGTGGCCTCGCTCTGCGTCTCTGCCGGAGCCCGGGCCAGGCACCACCTCGTCGCCGTCCGCCGAGCCCAAGGCCAGGCCACCTGAGTGCCGCGACCTGGCGAAGCTGCAGAGGCGGCTCCAGAGGCTGCCGGACCTGCCCGCCATGGGCAGCCGGATGGACGTGAGGCCCAGCTGCGAGCGCACGGCCAGCCGCAGGTTCTCCAGCACGGACGCCTAGGAGAGAGCAGAGCGCTCGCTGAGCACGCGCCCCAGGGCTGCGCTCCTCAGACAGGCCCACGCCAGGCCCAGGCCGCAGCGCCAGGCTGGGCCTTCTCCAGTCTTGTTCCCTGGGCTTTCTAGGCAACACGTGAATTTCATGCAAAAAATTTAACTGTTTCAACTACTGGTAAAAATATGTTCTGGCTAGAACTTCCACTTCTGTTAGTATTTATGGAGGGTAAATCACGTTCTGCGGCTCGCTCTGCTCTAGAATCTAATCTGTAACAGGAGTCGCTGCTCACTGTACTACCAATTCCTCAATGCTTCACTTTATATTCAGCTTCCATAGCTGTGCTTAATGTTCACGGTAACAGTTACTTGGTATCAAGACCGAATATAAAAATCCAGTCCACAAGTAACAGCAAGGGGAGAAAATGCAATCATTCCCTGCGCGTAGGAGGAGGAAGGCCACAATCACAGCATCTCACCAGGTGAGCTGGTCTGACAACTGAGTCTTTTCTGTTTTTTAAACATAAAGCAAGTCAGACTTGATTTACACGGTTAAATTTTCCTAAATTTAAGTGTGGGAATTATATTTCAGAGTTGGGCATCAAGGTTTTGTGGAATGCACAAATATTAACATTTAGTTACACTATCACAATTAAAGGAATTAATCCATTTGTAATACAGCCCAGAAAAAAAAATCTTTTGTATGTCAATATACAGAAGTATCTGCATTCATCCCCTTGTCTTTAAGGGTTGTTTTATTTTCTACAGTTTTGGGTTAATACATCGCTGTATCCTTACTCTTTGAAAACTGACTTTTAACTAGCATATATAAAAAATAACTATATTGTCCAATTTAAAAATCTTTTCTAGACAAATGCCACTGTTTAAACACTGCACAGTACTTAGGTAGACCTTAGGCTCCACCTAGTGCTTATGAAGAGTAATGAACCTCGGAGCCCAAGGGGCCACTGAGAGGCTAAAGCACAGCCAGCAGTCAGGGACACGGGTGGCGTCAGGACCCGCCTTTAGAGGTCAGTGCTGACGGCCTCTCCAGGTGGAGCTGAGGTGGCCTCAGGATCCTCCTTTGGAGGAGAGTGCTGATGGCCTCTTCAGATGGAGCTGTGGCACAGCTCCCATCCCACATAAGTCGAGGCCTGAGTCCTGAGGATAGAGCAGCAGGACCGCAGCTGGTTATGCTGTGCAGCGTTTGCCGGCTTATCCCAGGGCCCCCAACCTAACTGTGTGGGTACTTTCACACTTCTTCAATCTACGAAGCAACAAGCTTCCTCAGAAAACATTTCTATTTCAAGTAAGATGGCAAATCAGATTTCTTTTTAAAATTTTCTACAAACAGCAAAAGTTTCAAACTTGAGAGTTTAATCTTAGTAAAGAAAACAACCAGCTCTTCACTAATGGACCTATTCAAGCCTGGCTGAAGCAGAACTCACACAGAAGGTAAATGAAGGCTGGAGAGGCTGTGTGTGCAGTGGAATGTCCTGCCAGACCACGGGGCTCTGCCTGGGGGCCTGTGCCAGCCGGAGAACAGCCAGGAGCCCAGCGATGAGAGGCTGCTCAGGTTGCCTCTGCAGGGACAGACAGTAAGCTCACAGCAGTCCCCTGAGCACACGTGACAGGGAGGCTCGGGGCTGCCCCAGCGCCCATGCAGTGGTACTCTCTGGGCTGGTCAGTCAGCCCCATTCCCAGCCCACACAGGGGCCTGGGGCGCTGCAGTGAGCCCTGCCCTGGGTGCCCTGTGGGCCTGGCCTGGGGTGGGGTGCAGGCAAGGATGGGAGAAGACCAACCATTTCCTCCACAGCAATGCTAGCACAAAAGGAAGGCACGGTGTAGGCTACTTCTCCACTGTGCACACAAAAGAAAGATGGTAAGGAAGGGAAATTTCCAAAGAACAGAAATTGTGAATTACAAACAACATCTGGAAAGTATTTAAAAACTGCAATTTCTCAGTTTTCCTAAAAAAAGGAAAATTTTTTTTCCTAAAAAATTTCAAAGATTTCCTAAAAGACTCAGATGGAGTAACAAACTGGGGTGACCAGAAATCTCATTTACCAAAAGTGAAATGTGTTCCACTTAAAATGGTTAAATCATTGCAAAACCAGTATTTACCAATTTTTAACTCTTAACCAAGGACAATCATTATAACCGTTCTTTGATAAATTTACAATTTAACTGTTTATAAATCCTTAGGTCTTAAAATGAATTATGGCACATTTTTAAGTCTTGAAAAAGTAAATTTTAAAAAGCTCAGTAAGAAGTTTAAAGAATCATGAAACATTAATAAGAATAAATCACTATACAAGCAAACCAGCTGAAGTTTTAGTGTAAAATCCAACCTAAAAGTTTTCCCTGAAGTGAGGCAGAAACGTTAACTTCATTCCATTACTTTCACTCAGAGCTGATTAAGTTATCATGTAGTATTTTACTACTACATTAATTTTATTATTCATTATTAAATCTCTACCTGTTCAGTCCACGTAGTTTGCCAAAGTGACTTTTGAAGCTCAGCGCACTAAATTATCTAGACAGTAAGATGCTCAAGAATCAAGGCCAACTAAGAGAAGTAAAAATGTTCTTTTTTGTGGTATTTATTGAAATGTAATGAAAATATACGATTTCAAATTCTCCATATATTTTATCCTTGATTTGACTGCAGAAATCCTTTTGGTCAAGAGTTCTTTTATTGGCTTTAAAAAATTTTTTTTTTTAAATTTAGTACAGGGTCTACAGGGTCTTTCTATGTAGGTTAGACTCATTGATCCTCTTTTCAGCCTCCCAAGCACTGGAATTATAGGTGCACGCCAACACACCCAGTATCATTCACTGTCTCAGCACACCCAGGGGCGGGGCCAGCACAGCACGCCGGGGATCAAGCCCCAGGCCCTGTGTCTGCCTAAGCAGGTGCTTTCATCTGCTGAGCTATCTAGTTGGCCCTCTTCCTTTATTGGTACAGATCTATACAGGTATAATGAAATTTTTAAGAACTACTGAAATATAATCAGAAATTACAGTATATCAAAAGACTCCTAGAATTAACCATATTCTAGTAATATAGCAGTATACAAAATCAACACAGAAAAACCAATGGTGTTCGTGTACACTAATAATGGAGCCACGGAGAAAGAATCAGGGAGACAATAGTACTTACTATACACCAAGAAAAATAAAATACTTACGCATCAATCTAATCAAGGAAATGAAAGACCCCTACAATGAAAAGTTGTCCCCACAGATAGGAAGAAGCAATACTGGCAAACGGCCATCCTTCCAAAACTGATAGACAATTTAGTGCAATCCCAGTCAAAATACCTACAAACATTCCTAACAGAACTAGAGAGAGCAATCCTAAATTACATACGGAACCAGAAGAATCCCAGCACAGCAAAAGCGGTCCTGGGCAACAGGCTCAAAGTAGGAGGCACCACAATTTGGGACTTCAAAGTTATATATCAAAGAAAAGCACAGTGTTGGACAAAGTGACATACACCTGTAATTCGAGTGCTGGGGAGGCTGAGGGAAGAGGATTACCTACATTTTGAGGTAAGCCTGGACTATATAGTCCGTTCAAAATCAGCCTGAATTACTTAATACCCTGTCTCAAAAACAAAATAAAACATGGTACAAAAAGAGAATGGTATTGGCACAAAAACAGACACATGGCTAAGAGGAACAGAGCAGAAGATGCAGAAACAAGCCCCAGCACATGCATCCCCCATCTGACCTCTGGCAAAGGGCCAAGACACACATTGGCAGAGAGCCTCTTCACCAACTAGCGCTGGGAAACCCAGCCGCCCACATGTGTGAGGGAGTCTAGACCTGCATCTCTCACCACATGTCAACCTGAAATCAAAGTGGATCGCAACGCTCAAACAGGAGCACTCTGCTGGGAGATAAAACAGGGAAAACTCTTTAGGACATAGGCACAGAGGACAAGGACTTTCTGAACTGAACAGAAGCCCAATGCACAAGAAATGACATCGAGAATCAGTACATGCGATCTGAGCTATTAAAAAGCTTTTTACAAAGCAAATAATCAATAGAATGAAGAGACAATGTATAGAACAAGAAAAAAGTCTGCTAGCTATTCCTCAGAGAACTAGTATCGAGAATATGTAAAGAACTCAAAAAAATTAGAACCCCCAAAATGAAAGACCCAAGCAAAGGACAGGCAACTAAAATGAACAGACACTTCTCAGAAAAGCATACAAATGGCTAATACATACACACAAAAAAAGTTCAACCTCTCCAGCCATTAGTGAAATGCAAAATAAAATAACAGAGATTCTATCTTACTTCAGAAAATATGGTTACCATCAAGAAATCAAATAATAATCAATGCCAGTGGGGTTATGTGAAAAAAAAAAAAAAAAAGAACCCTTCTACATTGTTGGTAGGAATGTAAACTAGTGCAGCTACTACAGGTATGGAGATTCCTTGTAACACTAACAATAACATTCCACTCAACCCAGAAGTTCCCCTTTCAGATAGCTTTTAAAAAGAGTGAAAGCCTCATATTACAGCATTATATGCATATCCATATTTATGGCAGAGTAAGTCATAATGGCTAAAATTTGGAAGTGGCCTCTCTGTGCACCAATAGACAAGCAGATAAAGAAAAGGTGGTATTTATATACAGTGGAGTTTTACTCTGCCATAACAAAGGACAAACTGGGTCACTTGTAGGAACATGTATGCACCTTGAGTTTATAAGATCAAGTGAAATAAATCAGATACACAAATTTAAATACTGCATGGTTTCTCTTATATGAGAAACCAAAAATATACAGAGCAAAATAAAAGATTACAGGAAATAGGGACAGAGATTTTACAAATGAGGAGTGGTCCAAGAGGTGGAGGGACCCAGGAGGAGGGGAAGGACAGGCAGAAACAATGAAGATATGCTGTGTGCATGTCCCAACCCCCATGATGACTGTAATCACTATGTACTACAAACACGGACTAATAAAAAATAAAAATTAAAAGAAAACAATTGCAATATACCTGATTAGGTGAACAAACCGGAAAATCTTCCACTGGTGGAATTAAGCCCTGAGCAATCAATTGTCCATAAGAGGGAGGAGCTTCTCTCCTTAACAATTCTGCTTCCACTCTTGACAACTGGGTCTCAAATGATCTTTGAGAGCAGAGGGGATAAAAATGGTTTTAAAAAAGCAAGTCTAAACAGTAATTTTCTATTATCAGTGATTACAACAACCTGACTCCTAGTACATTTTAAAAACGGGGTCCACACTGAGGACACAGGATGAGGCAGGGAATCTGTGTGTGAGCTTGTCACTAGCAACAGCCTGGGCAATTGTTCCAAGGGGCTGGTGTCCCTCTAAAAGGCACAGGGATGAAGGGAAACACTAGGCTGTGTCTGGACTTTAGGGGACCCTCTCGAACAGTTTCACAGAGGTTTCAACCAGCAGGTTCAATATGGTTACTCCCAGGTAAGGGCAAAAGGATCATCAATCCTCTTTCCAGGAGACCTGCATCGGGAACTTAACACTCTGATCCTTTGCTGGGCTCTTCTGGTATGAGGTGGAAACTTCTTTAGCACTTCACACTTGGCAGGATTTGAAAAGCGGCAGCAACGGCTAGGAGGACATGCAGCTCCCCGCCATCTATAACCTTTACTGCCAGTAACCTGTGGGGCCTGAAGGCCTTCCTTGTCCCACAGCAGCATCTTAGAGAATGTCTTTGCCTCCACTTCTTCTAGGCCGGCTTCCTCCGCAAAGGTCACCTCGGAACACTTAACCACTTCCTCCTGAATGGGTGCTTGGATGTGTGGCTCACTGGCCCTACACCATGGCAGGAACCTGGCACTGTTATCAGCACCCATCAGTCCTCTAGAATCTTGGGGTCCAAACACATTGACTGGGCACTTTTTCTCTCAGCAATGCCTGATGTTCCTGCTTCTAGTTTCCTGGACCTTTTATCTACCTGCTCTCTGCTCACACGCTCCAGGTGGCACCTCTCTGAGGAAAGCCTTCACCCTCGTCACACGAGGCCTTGCCGACTTTTACAGCACTTTGCTTAACAGCTCTTACAGCACTTACATGTTTGCCATCTTATTCTACCCCATTTCCTTCCGCTTAACTGAAAAGTGCTTGTGAGGTTAAGGCTTATTCATTTTTTTTTTCACTTGTAGAATGCTTTGAATGTATCATGCTATCAAATGAGGAATTACTGAATATTTATAAAAACACAGGTTAAAAGTTAAAACTGTAAGTTACAGCTAGCAAATTCATATAAAAAGTTCATCTGAAAACAGGAGCCAGCCTCCAGCCTCAAACCCCTCTCTGGATGCGCCCAGTCGTGTCTGAAAACAGGAGCTGGTAACATAGACTGGCTTTTCCCATACTTATAGCCCTATGTAGTGGTTTGCAGTGAGCTTAGCCTTGAATTCTGGGCTTTTCGCACTAATACTGTAAGTGATAAGTAATATTTATATATTTTAAAGCTAATACAAACAAAACATACTGCGAGTGCCACTGAAAGGCCTGTGGCACACACACATTTGGGCCATGTTTCTCTTAAGTCCACATGGCTGTCTCAGTAACTGACCTCCGCTCAAACATCCGCAGGGAGTAAAGCTTGCACGTACACCCCAAAGCGATGACCAGCAGCAGGCCGCAGATGAGGCTCCCGATGACGGCTGCAGTGATAACTCTGGTGGGCACGATCACCGGGCAGTTCTCCTCGTCGCTGCCATCTCCGCAGTCATCCTGAGAATCACACACCCAGCTCTCAAACACACAACGATTATTTTTACAATGAAAATTGCCCGGCTGGCAGAAAAAGCAGTTTTTCTCATCAGAGCCGTTGGGGCAGTGATTCTGGTAGTTGCAGCGGTCGGAGCGGGGGTAACAGGCGCCACTGCGGGAACACGGAAATTCCTCCTTCGGGCACACGGTACAGTTGGTTTCATCCCTCCCGCTTGGGCAGTGCCAGAACCCGTCGCAGCGCTGCTGCTCAGTGTAGCAGCCCCAGTTCCCACCACAGGGTATTTCCCAGGGCAGACAAAAGCCATCGACTTGGTAAGTGGCATTGAATCCCCTAGCAGCATTTACTTTATCTGCACAAAAGTGTACCCTTATTTGGCCGGAGGAAGACACAACTGTAAGAGGCGCGTGAGAATCAAAAGCAGTCAGCACACGCAGAAGCCTGTGTGGATTCTCCTCCAGTCCGTCATATATTTTGACATAGTCACCATAGCCAGTGCCATCAAGTTTGAAGTCAGTGAAGCGAATGATGACCTTACGATGGTCACCAGTGTCAATCAACCAGGTACAATTGCTTCCAGGAGGATAGAAATCCGGATAGTTGGGAGAATTAAAAGTGCCATAGAAATATTTTAACCACTGCCCACAAGTTGGCACATCACAATCAATCTCATCCCCCAGGTCAAGGCAATCAATGTTCCCATCGCACTTTAAGGACTTGGGGAGGCAGGTGTAAACTTTGGTGAACCGGGACAGACACTGGAACTGGTTATAGGCACAGGGCTGAAAGGAAGCAGCCGTTGGAGGACTTGCCTCCCTGGCACAGAGCTCCTCGTCAGAACTGTCTCCACACTCGTCCATGTTATTACACTTCCACGCTTCCGGGATACACTTCCCATTGCCACAGCGAAACTGATCACAAGCACAGCTGGGCTCCTCCGATTTTCCTGGGAGAATGTGGGACATGCAAGAGAGGAAGAAAAAGTACTCTTCAAAAGATATCTAGGTATTTTTAAAATAAATATTGATTAAGCCCAAGGGTCAATGTTTTTTTTTTTTTTTTTTTAAATTTGGTTAAAAAACAGGTGTAATGACAAATCAGTTGTGGCACTAATTAGCCAACAATTTATCAAGTGTCTATTTTTTTCCATCCATTAGCTCTTTGTATCTTGAACTAAAGACAGGAAGAATGAATGCTATTTTTGCAAAGAGCTACTATACTGAAGAACTTAGCAAAGTGCTGAGACTCACGAGCCAACAGGCTATGCTACCTAACAAGGCTATGTAACACTGCATCAACGCTATCAAGGCCATGATAGGCCTTTTTAAATGAAAAACTCCATTTAAAAGAACTGATTTTTTAAATGTTTTCATATTTTTCTCTATTCTTGTGTCTTTATATATACACATACAATATTTCTCCATATACATCCACAGCATGTTTTGTAAACTCCTATGTTAAACCATTAATGCTTCATGTAATCACATAACAGCTGCATTTAATAATTTCTATTCTGTAACACAATTGCAAGATATTGCATAAATTTAAGTTGAAGATATAAATTTATTTATCAAATGAACAAATGAAAGGAAAACACTGACATGCCAATAGCGTTCCAGTGATCTCCGAATCCCACCCGAGTGGGACAGGAGCAGCAGC